TTCTTTTCTACAGTCCCCAGCCTCACATTTGCTTTGCCAGCTGGGTGTTCCATGGGCATGCTCCACTTCATTTTGGAAGGTTTATTTTGGCAGCCTGTGTTTCCACCATTGGCACTACAGACTCCCCAGACACCCTCTTCCCCCTCACCCATGCTTCCCCCAGCTGCAAAGCCCCCAGGCTCACCCCTCCGGAGGGGGCTGCTTGCTCCCAGCTACTCCAAAATGAGGGACACCCAATGGAGGGTTAACAGGAACTGATTTTCCTCATAGGGTGAATCAGACACACAGCCTGGGCAAAGGCACACTGGTGCCACACTCCTCCCCACCCCACATCACCACCCCCCCAACACTGCCCCAAAGCCCTGGGCTCTGCTCGCCCCAGGGGATTGGGAGCCAAGGGCTTTGCCTGTGCAAGCCACCCGAGACAACACAACCAACCACGGCACAAAAACGCCAGCAACAGCAATTTGCCTCCATGTGTTAACGCATCAGGGAGCCTCATTTGCAAAGCCCTGCAATAAAGCAGCCTCCGGCGTTTCAGTGCTTCCAGATGAAAAGGCACAAAATAAACAGAAAGCAAAGCCTATCGTAGAGTTAGGTCCAGCAAATCGAGCTGGAGGTTTTGGGGGAGATACAAACCTGGGAGCAGGGCGGGGAGGGTGTGAGTGACCTGGACACACATGAGCACCAAGACCCCTACCACATTGGTGATGCCCATCACCCTCTGGCTGTGGGTCTCTCCCACCAGACCCAGAGCCCCTCGGTCACGGTGGAGGCACAGTTCCCTGGTCACCCTGCTAGTGGTACATAGCCACCTCTCCACTCTGCCTTAGAGAGAAAATTAATTTATCTCAGCTGCCCAAGCATGAATTTCCCCACACATCATCTCCCTTGAGTCTGATGGGGACCCCAGACTGTGGGGTCCTCAGCGACCCCCTGCACTGTGCCCATCCCCTCCAAGCTAACACAGAAAGCATCCAGGACCAGGCTGGAGACGTCCTCAGAAGCTAGCAAGAAACAACCCACCACCCCTGCCAGGCTGAAATGGGCTGCAGAACATGCGAGGAAGGAGAGCACCAGGGAGGAAGGCTCCCGCAGCGCTGGGCTGTCCTGCCCAGCTGCATCCCCGACGCTGTTCCTGCAGTTGAGCTTTGCTTAGCAAAACATGCACCCAGCAAAGCTGGGCTGGATCACAGGATGGGTCTCCCCTTCCCCACAGGCTCTGCCCGCTCTGCACAGCTTTCACCCCACATAGCAGCACCTTCACCTGGCAGATGCCTTCGTTAAGCGCCACAGCATGCTGAGGAGATGGGGAGACGGTGCACAGAGGGGTGCAAGACCGCTCCGGGCTCACCTGGATAGCAGGGGACTGTGGCATCTGGCAGCAATTTCACTAAAGCCAGTTTATCAACGGCAACAATTCAGGAATTAATAGAGCCAGGCTAGCAGGATGCAGGAACATCACCCATTTAGTGTCATATTGTAAGCCTTTTAATTACTGGGGGAATATGGAGTCATGTAATGATTACAAGAACAAATACTTAAAGTGTGTGGAAATTAACTGAGCCTTGGCAGTAATTAAGCTTGAAGATTAATCAGTCGTTTGCAAATAACACCCTTTGCAGGCTAACCACTATGTGGGGAAGAGAGATGCCCAGGGCTGAGAGCATTGCAGACCCCAGCCTTCCCCTCTGCCACCCCCTGGCAGGCATGGGGGGGCAGGGGCAGCCCTGCTCCTGGAAAAGGGCTTTTCTGAGCCCCAGTGCTGCCAGGTTTCAGTGCCAGCTTGGGTCAGCCACTTCAGACCCCCTCCCTCCCAAGCGCTTTCCAGTGGGGGACCAATATTTCCACTGCAAACTAATATTTCCCTTGCCCAGTAAATAGCTTTCCAGGAGGCTTCCATAAGTACTTCTAATTTCCTTCCCCTCTGATGATTTACGAGGGTTGCATTCATTAACAGCAGTATTGATTTTTCTGCAGCTGACTGGCAGGCTGCTCGCCCTCGTTAGGGAATCCATCACTTACCTTCCCAGCACGGGCAGGGTGCGGGCAGAAGGGATCCAGCAACACCCAGGCACAGAGTAGGCTGGTTCACAGGTACAGCCTGTGTCCCCTTACCCCAGCACGACATCCCACAAAACCCCTGGGAAGCTCTTCTAAGGAGGTTGTTGGACATTTGGATGGTCCAAGAGTTTTTTCCAAAGCACTGCAAGAGGCTGGCAGGTACATATAGAAGCATCTATAGAGTATTCAATCAGACAACACCTACAGAGCAAGAACGATCTTGGAGTAACATTCAGCCACATAAAGCTGCCTTCCCTGGCAGCTGGGAGGCTTTCCAAGACAGGTCATTAATTACACCCCATATATTTATATTCCTCCTTGAACTTTCTAAGGGGAAAAGCCACCCCTGACCTCCACCGGAGTGGTGCTGGAGTGGGACAGTGCTCATGGGCTATTCCATAAAGCCCACTGAAGCCTTCACTTCCTTCGTCTTCATTGGGGCTCTGCAAACCCAAGCCCTCCCAATTTAAGCTCCTATGTTAAGCAGGAGAGTGCTTTGTGAAAACAAGCATTAATCCACTTTTGTGCAGGTGGAATTGCAAAGTCTGCGCTCGGGGCTTTGCCAAGAGGGGAAGGAAACTAAGGCAGCCACCATGCTAACCACAGATGCTTTAAACAATAAAATCCCTTTGAAATTAGCACCCTTTAATTGTATTATCTTTTGCTGACAGCTTCAAGTTGGTCACTGGTGATCAAAGAGACAGAGAGGGAAGGCGGAAACAAGCATTTGGTGGAGTCCCAGGGTCCTAATAATGAACAGCACCAAGGCATCTCCACGGCCACGGGGCTGATCGGGGCTCAGGAGACCCCGCTCGGTCGTGGTGCAGTTGGTGGTGCCCATTCCCCCTCGGCACAGGGCTTCCCCAGAAAAGGTACCCAGAAAGGGTACTATGGACGAGGTAGTGTGTGCGGCAGCAGAGACGGAGCCACTCAAACCCGCTGAGACCCAGCAGACCTGTAACACTTCCAACAGGTCTCCTCTGACCACAGACCTCAGCCAGACCCAGGAGCTGCAGGGAAGGAGGGCAGCGCTTGGGAAAGGCTTCACAAGTGTTTGCAAGTGCTGCCAGTGCTTCTTTAGAGACCGTCACAGCAAAAATCCATCCACAAGAAACCCCGCCATGATGCGGGCATCTTCATCTGGAGATGCTCTGCCCCATGAGCAAAACCTGATTTTCAGAGACTAGATGGGAACAGGGAGATGACACAGATGGGCTTTGATGCAGGATCAAGGGAAGGGACTTAAATGCATTTAAGACGTAATTTATAAAGAGCAAAAGGTGATAAACTAGTTGTCCCCAATTTTCTATTCCTGAATATTAAGACATCTGCAACCTCAACTGCTCAAGCCCATCCCAGCACATACACAAAAGCTGAGGCTGTTTTGATGTGTTGGATCCATAAGCTCCCATCCTCTCTGGTCTCTCCAAGCGATGGCCCCAGAGTCACCAGCCACACAGCAGATCTGAAACGCAAGATCCCCATCTGCAGCAATTGCTGCCAGTTCACATAAATGCTTTTAAGTTTATCTCTTGGCTGCTGGTGTACAGAAATTACCATCACATGAAATTATTGGTTCTTTTAACACAAGATTGGCCAAGAAAATCATCAAATGTGAGCAAGCACCTTCCAGTCACTGGCTGTAATAGTCCTGTCCATTCCTCTCTGGGATTACTGTTGTCCAACTTGTATGCTTGGGTACCAGCCAGTCTCGTAATGACAAAATCCCCAGCACCTGCCATTACCGAGGTAAATTATATTTTTCAGTGGTTGAAATTATGTTACTTAAAAGGCAAGACCATGCTCTCCAAGGCTGCCTGTGCAGCTTTAATTCATGTGTGCACGCAGTATGGCACAGCACAGCCTTTAATTACAGGCTCACTTACTCTATTTTCCATTACAGGCAAAAAAGAGACTCCTAAGGAAAGCAAGGGAGAGAAATGGAAACGATGATGGAAACAGGGAGGCACAGGAACTCGGGTGGGCTGTGGAGCATGGCCACGGAAGGAGGCAGAGGTGGGAATGCCAGGCGGGAGCACAGAACAGGGCAGCGGTGACCGCTGCATGTCACATCCCTGTCACCCACCACTCACGTGTCACCTGTGACTCCACCTGAGCAAAATCCATGCTGGCATCTTTTCCGCATTGCAAAGTTTATCCCAAATGCTGCCCCTCATTTTTTTCATCTCTGCTCCTCCACATTCAAGTCACTTTAGTTACTGTTTTTGCAGGGCTTGGTGTGACAGCCCAATTAGTATTAACATATATTTAAAGGTTGTCAAAGCAAAGGGAAATGTCTCTTTAGTAAAACAGCATGTCATGACGGGAAGGTCTGACAGCATCTCTCAAGCTGCGAGCTGGGATGGATGCGGTACGTGCATCACAGGCAGCCAGGACACCAGCTCTGTGCAGCGAGTGTTCCAGGGGACAACAGTTTGCTCCTATTTTATTTGAAACCTTGCTCAACTCCAAGGCTGGGCATGTCAGCCCCGGATTTCAATCAACAATCATTTCAACAGGTACCTGAAGCACATGGGCACAAAGAAACCGGCCTGAGCTCTCTTCAGGGTTTAATGGCAGAGGGAGCACAGGCCATGCACCAGGTGCTGCTCCAGCCATCGGCGAGTCCCACCGCAGCACGGTGGTGAAGAGACACCCTCCCACACTGCGACACTAGCAGCTGGGACAGGTGCTACAAGTAATTGCAAAAACGACGGTAATTTCAGAAATCCCAAAAGAAAAGGGTCCCAGAAATGACAAACAACAAGACTGCAAAACATCTGCCCGAGCCCCATGCCCTGGTGGGCTCCACCATCCCCATGCAGCAGCTCAGCCCGACACCTCAGAGCACATCAGGGGTTTTTGTTCCTCCAACCCCCCCCGAGCCCGGCGCCGCTCCGCAGGGTCTGCATGGGGCATCGGCGCAGCCGACTGACCTGTCCAGAGGGAATCGCGCTTCATCCCCTTTGTGGAAGTCAGTGCTATTTTCCAGCCTGGCCAGGATGTCCATCCTCTTCATCAGCATCTCCAGCATGTCGCTCATTCGCCGCAGCACCCCTCGGGACTCCAGCGCGCCCATCACTGCAGGCACACAAAGAGCAAGCGAGACACGGTCACGGGCTGGGCGCTGTCATGTCAGACCAAGAAAATCCCCCTCCCCACAGCTTCAGCCCCAAACCTGCCTGCGGTCCTGCCCTGCTGATGGGCTCAGTGCTCTATGGACCGTCTCAGTGTTGTCTAGTCCCCAAAATCCCCTCCCTGGCTCTGCCAACAGTCCCCTAGCCCCATCATCCTGCCCAAGCACTGCTTAAACTGTGACTGTGCCCAAATCCAGCTGGGCTGCTACAGCTCCAGACAGCCAGTGCTTATACCAGCCCTGGATCCAGCTTCCTCGCCTGCCTCTCTGGGCATAAACTCCTGGCTTGTCCACCCGATCCAGCCTGTCCTGAGTGCTTACGGGAAACCAACTTCATTCTCAAACACTAACCAAACAGCCTTTCATTTTGCACTTCTATTTTTCACCCTCCAAGACACACCTAGCCCAGCATCCTGCCTTTGACAGCAGCCTGAAGGGGATACTTAAGGAAAAACATGGGAAATGGAGCAAATAGGTAGTCCTCCCCCAGCACATCCTCTCGGCAGCACCGTATTTTCCTGTTGCAGAGAAGAATTTCTTTTCTACCCAAATCTGCTACAGGGTGGGTGCCCCAGCACTGGAAATACCTCTGTCTCAACCACTGCATCTCAGCAAACCCACCCCAGCAGGAAAGGCCCCCAGTTCCCAGCCCTGTTTAACACTCTGCTTCCTACAGGTCTGCACAGCACCAACCTGCTGCTGTGTTGAAAACACTGGGTAATACACAAGCTCCTGGCTCCCAGTTTGATCTGCTGTCTAGTGACAGGCAGCCCTGAGCCTGAAGCCAGGGAACAGAATATAAAGCTCCTGTTTCATCTCAGCGTGGCTCATTTCACATTAGTAATAACTTAATCAGTGCATAATCCCCTGAACTTCTCCCGTTTAGCTTATCTCTGCTGTTCCACTCACATGTACTTTTCAAGAGGCAGCACATATTTAATTTAGGGAGCAGCAGGAGCCGGGTGGGCGACACTGGGAAGGCAAGCGGCTGCTGGACACCCTGGGTGGCTATAAGGACTTACGGACAGCTCATGCATCTCCAAACAGATGCCAAACCGGGTCTTGCAGAGCCAGAGGGTGGCTGTGCTGGTGCATCCCCTGGGTCCCCCCCCCCCGCACAGCACCCCACACCCAGCTCAGCCCGGGCGGTGGGATGGAGTGGGGCATTCCAACAGCTTCTCCTCGCCGCAGGAGCCAACTCGGGCCACGGTGCACATCAAACAGCACGGAGACCGGCTTCAGTGAGAGATCTAGATGGTTTTGGTATTCAGATGAGAGCGGTGCGTACGGCCACGGTGGGAACCAGCTCACCGCAACGGCTCCCACGGCTGCAGAGATGCAGCCCCGGCTCCCTCCCCACTCCCCCAGTAAATCACTCGCTAACCCCAGCTCCTGGCAGCTGCAGGTCGGTTCTCCAGTGCTGAGGGCAGAGGGCTGCATCGGCACCGCAGCTGACCCGGGGGCTTCGGCCAGGCGCTCGCCCCGGCAGGCACTGAGAAAGCCTCGCATCGCCGCGGCTGCCTGTCGCTGTCGGACACGCAGCACGTGAACACAGGGCTACAAGCCAAGCCCTAGTCCCCCCCGAGAAGCTGACACCAGGCCAGCCAGATCTCACCAAAGGCTGTCTTCCATGCTTGGCTGAGAGTATCAGCAGCACATCATTTTTCCTGACACTATCTAACAAAACGGAAGAAAAATTGAGAGCAAAAGCAATTCCTCAAAAAAAAAAACAAAACAAAATTAATGGAGGCTGAAACTGGGCTCTTCTCCAAATGCTCCCTGTGCTCCCATGACAAGAAGTTGGTGATTTCTGCTTGAACCGGTAGGTCCCCGAGGTCCTATGTAGCCCCAGACCTCCCTGGATGGGTCTGGGAACACAGAAGCCACCTTTGTCCATCCCATCAGGAAGGTCTCCCAGTCCTCTGGGTGGGACGCAAGTCACAGCCTGTCCCATTAAAGAGCAGAAGTGTTAATGAACTCACAGTTAAAAGATGCTATGGGGGGGAAAAAAGTGGAAACTTGGACCCTGGAGCTCAGTTTGAACAGAGGCCTCCCCAAACACAGCTGAGCAAACCAGGCAAAGGAGCAGCCAAGAAAAACAGAAAATCTCTGAGATCAGCTTAAGTCAGAAAATGCACATCAGTTATTTCCCCATGGGACTGAGCCCACTCCAGTGACATCCCTACCACGGCTGGGCTGTGGTCCCAGCTCATGGCCCCCAGCACCCCAGGCAGCTTCCAGGACTGATCACCCCCTGAATGGGGATTTCTGTTCAGGATCTGCTCCTGCTCTGACATCCCAGCGCTGCCAGCGAGTCAGAGCTGAGACCTTGAACTCAGTCTTTGAGTGAGACGGAGACTGCGTGTCCTTCACGGGAAAAGGTCCCGACACAACCCCTACAGCTGGCCAGAAGGGCTTAAACCACAACCACCACATTTCCATGGACACAGTGGCACCCCTGGCTCAAGGATTTGGATCCCAGCTTCTTTTGAGGACGTCAGGTCGTGCTGGCTCATTGTGAAGGTGCAAGGATCATGTCTGGGAAGGCCATGGAGACGACCGAGAGACGTTGCTGCCTTTGCCACTCAGGGCTGGGCTGTCGCCCCAATTTGTAGCCAGGCTGCATCTGTTTAATTACAAAGGCCTGTTTAGTGGTACAGCTTATTTGAAATTTAAATGGCTGCTCACAAAGCCCAGGCAGAGAAACAGCTCTGGCCCCCAGATTAAAAACCCACACACACGTATTGAGCTCATCCCCACAGAAGAGACCTGAGGAAAGCCCTTTCCTGAGAGGCTTGGGATGGGTCCCAGGAGCCTCTCCAGCTCTGCTAATGGAGCCTAATCCTACCCTGGGCAGGAGGACAAGGGAAACTGAGGCACAGAGCTACAAATGGCTCGTGTTTCCAGCAGGCAGCAGCGAGCTGACATCTGTGCCAGGCACCCAGGGGTGCTCAGCGCCGCATCCCCAGCGCCTGGGCAAAGCTCCCCGGGGATCACCCTGCGCTCGAGCAGGAGCAGGAGATGAAGATTTCCTGCTGCTCAGGCTACATCCACACCCCAGGCAATCCAGCCAAGGATGCCTGCTCTGAGCCCTCACTGCAGCAGCACAGCCGACAAGACAGCTCTGCTCCCAAACCCCTAAGAAGGGATGAGGGTATTCCCACTGGGGAATTAAACCATTTCCTACTGGATCCTGGAGAAGCCAGCAGAGAGAAGAGCCGCAAGCCCTGGCCCCGCAGCCGAGCCCCCAGCACCAGCCCGGCCCCCCCGGCTCTCGCGCTGGCTTTGCTGAGATTTCCTCTCGTGCCACTGCCACTATCCAATTTCACAGTTGGTTTCGAGCGCTTCCAGGATGCTTTTCAACAGCAAAGCTCTGAGTTTTGCTGTCAACAGCGAGCAGAGATATTCCTTCTCCAATAAAGAAATTAAAAATCACTCAAAATTCTAAGCAAAAATAGTAATAAAAAAAATCCCAGCCTTCACTGGGTTATCTTTTCAGGCACCCTGCCAGAAAGCAGAGCTGTCACGGAGCACATCTCCCCCCAGCCCTCCACAGACTCCTGGAGATGAAGTCGAAGCCTTTCCTCGTCAACACCTCTATTTTTCTGTTCTTGGTCTTTTTTGTTGTTGTTGTTGTTGTTGTTGCTCCAGAAGCTTAAAGAGGATAACAAGAACGATTTGACATTTTTGGCAATGATTATTACATCCCCTGGAAAGTGTGTCTCATTAAAACCAAAAGAAAGTAGGAAAAGTGCTGAAGCGACTCTTTTAAAAAATGCAAGAGCCAGGATTAATTTGTTAACCTGAAGCAGAGACCCAGACACCCGCCGAACGGCTGCTCGGCTGCCTGACAGCACACGCCAGCGACAGGGATGCGGAGGATGGAGACCAGCCCGACCGATACCCCCAGCTTCTCCCCTTAAACCAGTGCTGATGATCCCCAAGAGACTTGCAAACGGCACTGCAGGCAGACAGGATAAGCCCAAAACCAACTCAATAGCATGAAGACCCAGTAAAATAGTCCTGCAAACCACTTTTTTTTAAAAAAAAGCAAGCAAGCTGCTAATTACAAAGGAAAAATATTCTAATTATCCTTGATAATCAGCAATGATGGGAAAGAAAACATAAGTAAAACTGCTCAACAGATTAATTGGAGTTTGCTAAAGTATGACAGGTTTTTGACAGTTTTCCTGAGTGGCAGCCACTCTTTAAAGGCAATCACTGAACCTGACAGAGGTTTTCATAGCAGCACTAGGAAATAATGATTGCAATCAATCATATCTTACTGGATTTCATGAGACATGCTGGTAAACACAGCAGAGGGAGGAGAATTATTTATGGTGCTTCAGAAGAGCATACAGCTAAGTAATTGGATGAAATCAGGGGAAAAAAAGAAAGCATCCCCTAAGGGTGATGTTGAGTGGAAGAAGAAATAGTTTTTCTGCGAAATCAGTGGAATAGTCAACAGACAATATGCTCAAATTTGGTTGGGTCGAAACCCTGGGGAATTCACTAACGATGCTCTCGTCTTTGAAATACCTTCTTGGAGTGAATACATCCCTGGGCAGGCGTCCCACCTCCTGCCACCAAAACCTCCAGGAACGGGAGTCAGGACAGACGTGCGGGTGAGTTTTGCTGCGTGTGCAGACTGCCCTGGACACGACTGTGAAGTTCAGTGCCAGATGCCTTGGGGCAACCGCACAGGAGCGGAGAGCAGCTGAGAAAGCAGAGTTTCACACAGCATCTCCCAGCGCAGCCACGGAGCGGGGGGCTCTCTGCCAGGCAGCCCAGTACGGGGGCTGGGACCGGCGGAGATGATGTGAAGTGGTGCTGGCAAAGCCCATGTCGTGCTGTGGGGGAAGGAGCCGATGGGAAGGAGTTTCCATGCTCAGATATCATGTTTTGGGATCCTGAGCATCCTCCCCACGCTGCCCCCCCCATTGCT